GACATACAGTGGGGGAAAAAAGTATTTAGTCAGCCACCAATTGTGCAAGTTCTCCCACTTAAAAAGATGAGAGAGGCCTGTAATTTTCATCATAGGTACACGTCAACTATGACAGACAAAATGAGAAAAAAAAATCCAGAAAATCACATTGTAGGATTTTTAATGAATTTATTTGCAAATTATGGTGGAAAATAAGTATTTGGTCAATAACAAAAGTTTCTCAATACTTTGTTATATACCCTTTGTTGGCAATGACACAGGTCAAACGTTTTCTGTAAGTCTTCACAAGGTTTTCACACACTGTTGCTGGTATTCTGGCCCATTCCTCCATGCAGATCTCCTCTAGAGCAGTGATGTTTTGGGGCTGTCGCTGGGCAACACGGACTTTCAACTCCCTCCAAAGATTTTCTATGGGGTTGAGATCTGGAGACTGGCTAGGCCACTCCAGGACCTTGAAATGCTTCTTACGAAGCCACTCCTTCGTTGTCCGGGCGGTGTGTTTGGGATCATTGTCATGCTGAAAGACCCAGCCACGTTTCATCTTCAATGCCCTTGCTGATGGAAGGAGGTTTTCACTCAAAATCTCACGATACATGGCCCCATTCATTCTTTCCTTTACACGGATCAGTCGTCCTGGTCCCTTTGCAGAAAAACAGCCCCAAAGCATGATGTTTCCACCCCCATGCTTCACAGTAGGTATGGTGTTCTTTGGATGCAACTCAGCATTCTTTGTCCTCCAAACACGACGAGTTGAGTTTTTACCAAAAAGTTCTATTTTGGTTTTATCTGACCATATGATATTCTCCCAATCCGTCTGGCACTGCAGGATTGGAGTCCCTGGCGGCGTAGTGTGTTACTGATGGTAGGCTTTGTTACTTTGGTCCCAGCTCTCTGCAGGTCATTCACTAGGTCCCCTCGTGTGGTTCTGGGATTTTTGCTCACCGTTCTTGTGATCATTTTGACCCCACGGGGTGAGATCCTGCGTGGAGCCCCAGATCGAGGGAGATTATCAGTGGTCTTGTATGTCTTCCATTTCCTAATAATTGCTCCCACAGTTGATTTCTTCAAACCAAGCTGCTTACCTATTGCAGATTCCGTCTTCCCAGCCTGGTGCAGGTCTACAATTTTGTTTCTGGTGTCCTTTGACAGCTCTTTGGTCTTGGCCATAGTGGAGTTTGGAGTGTGACTGTTTGAGGTTGTGGACAGGTGTCTTTTATACTGATAACAAGTTCAAACAGGTGCCATTAATACAGGTAACGAGTGGAGGACAGAGGAGCCTCTTAAAGAAGAAGTTACAGGTCTGTGAGAGCCAGAAATCTTGCTTGTTTGTAGGTGACCAAATACTTATTTTCCACCATAATTTGCAAATAAATTCATAAAAAATCCTACAATATGATTTTCTGGAAAACCTTTTCTCAATTTGTCTGTCATAGTTGACGTGTACCTATGATGAAAATTACAGGCCTCTCTCATCTTTTTAAGTGGGAGAACTTGCACAATTGGTGGCTGACTAAATACTTTTTTTCCCCACTGTATAATTATTATGATGTAGAAGAACAACTTACATGCAGTTGTCATCATCAGCAGCAGCCGAAGGAGAGATCCTGTGCCTCTGAAAGTTTGGTTACTGCCAGACATGCTGGAATGGTAGTTTGTTTTTGAACTGACCATAGGTTCTATATAGAAGCACTTTTTTTTCTAAGAGTGTATGCTTTTATTAAACATATTATTTCCTCTTGCTTCTAGCTAGAATTTAGTTTTGCAAAAGCACAGGTTTGTATAAACCTTGCTGTTTGCCACTCTGACGTCGGCAACAATGTCAAAAAAATGCAAATTTGATCACACCCCTGCCATAGAGAGTAACATGTCGGAAGTCAGCTAGCCATTTTTCTGACCAGCCGAAATCATGCAGCAGCATCATTAATATGGATATAAAATGTCAATGCAAAATAGCTAAAACAAATGAAAATGGAGGTAGTTAGCTGTCATTTCAGAGTTTGATGTCACTGTGTTAGCTTTTGTTAGCTGTTTTTGCTAAAAATCCACATTACACTCTGGGGTAGCGATAGAACCCTCAAGGTTCTTTGCCTTCACTGGGTACATACTGTATATAGAGAACCTTTTTTAGTAAAGGGTTCTTTAATCTCATCCAAAGAAGCAAAAGGTTCTAACCCTTACTCTTTTTTCTAAGAGTGATATTGTGCAACTCGCTATTCAGGTAGGATGCAAATTGGAACTTAAATGTCTATATTTTTGTATTTATAATCATTTATTTTATCATTATTGTATTTTTTATTTTATTTTACCTTTATTTACACAGGGAGTCACCATTGAGACCAGGGTCTCTTTCGCATGGAAGCCCTGCACATACAATTCATAGACAAAATCTAACTAAAATACAGCACTACAACCAATCAAGAAAAACAGCCACATTGTTGTTATTATTGTAAGCCTATTTATTAATAGAAACAAGTTATTTAATATGCAAAACCTATTTTGTTTAATTCTGTTGAGACATTTTCATTGGCTAAATTAAGTTTGATCTGTCTTATTAATTGTGAGCTCCTTATTTAGTTTAAGATGCTATCATTTGTTGGGTATTGTAGGCACTAGCCTTTGTTGGTAATTTCTGCAATATAGCCTGTTCATTTTCTGTGATCAAATTAAGTTCCAACTGTAATGATGTAATTTGTAACTGTAATTTTCCCTATAAGCAATGGCCTGACTTACATTTGATATTACCATAATAATATTTATAAACTTTTGTGAAGGTTTGGTGTGATGCGGCTATTATTAAGCTTTAGCTACTGCAGGCCGATGATATGAAGGCAGTGCGCCCAGGTGCTCCAACTGACTGACAGTTGAACTTGAGGGACCGTGAGGAAGAGTGTTTCAGGCCTACCAGAGTTACTCCTATAATCTAACAAGATAATGCTTATCTTTATACAAAATATTCAGATACAATTTTTTTACTAATTAGCCTCCTTCTCTATCTCTTTCCCTATCTCTCTGGGGCTAGGCCTAACCTTCTCTTCCTTTTATATACACAGTGCATTTGGAAAGTATTCAGACCCATTGACTTTTTCCGAATTTTGTTACGCTACAGCCTTATTCCAAAACTTTTATTTTTATTTTTTATCCCTCATCAGTCTACACACAATACCCATTAATGAAAAAGCAAAAACAGATTTTTTGCCATTTCTGCACAAAAAAACTGAAATATGACATTTACAAAAGTATTCAGACCCTTTACTCAGTACTTTGTTGAAGCACCTTTGGCAGCGATTACAGCCTCGAGTCTTCTTGGGTATGACGCCACAAGCTTGGCACACCTGTATTTGGAGAGTTTCTCCCATTCTTCTCTGCAGATCGTCTAAAGCTCTGTCATGTTGGATGGGGAGCATTGCTGCACAGCTATTTTCAGGTCTCTCCAGAGATGTGCGATCGAGTTCAAGTCCGGGTTCTGGCTGGGCCACTCAAGGACATTCAGAGACGTGTCCCGAAACCACTCCTGTGTTGTCTTGGCTGTGTGCTTAGGGTCGTTGTCCTGTTGGAATGTGACCCTTCGCCCCCAGTCTGAGGTCCTGAGTGCTCTGTAGCAGGTTTTCATCATGGATCTGTCTGTACTTTGCTCCGTTCATCTTTCCCTCGATCCTGACTAGTCTCCCAGTCCCTGCCGCTGAAAAACATCCCCACAGCATGATGCTGCCACCACCATGCTTCACCGTAGGGATGGTGTCAGGTTTCCTCCAGACGTGACACTTGGCATTCAGGCCAAAGAGTTCAGTCTTGGTTTCATCAGACTAGAGAATCTTGTTTCTCATGTTCTGAGAGTCTTTAGGTGCCTTTTGGCAAACTCCAAGCGGGTTGTCATGTGCCTTTTCCTGAGGAGTGGCTTCCGTCTGGCCACTGTACCATAAAAGCCTGATTGATGGAGTGCTGCAGAGATGGTTGTCCTTCTGGAAGGTTCTCCCATCTCCACAGAGGAACTCTAGAGCTCTGTCAGAGTGACCATCGGGTTCTTGGTCACCTCCCTGACCAAGGCCCTTCTCCCGCGATTGCTCAGTTTGGCCGGGCGGCCAGCTCTAGGAAGAGTCTTGGTGGTTCCAAACTTCTTCCATTTAAGAATGATGGAGGCCACTGTGTTCTTGGGGACCTTCAATGCCGCAGAAATGTTTTGTTACCCTTCCCTAGATCTGTGCCTCGACACAATCCTGTCTCGGCGCTCTATAGACAATTCCTTTGACCTCATGGCTTGGTGTTTGCTCTGACATGCACTGTCAACTGTGGGACCTCATATAGACAGGTGTGTGCCTTTCCAAATAATGTCCAATCAATTGAATTTACCACAGGTGGACTCCAATCAAGTTGTAGAAACATCTCAAGGATGATCAATGGAATGAGGATGCACCTGAGCTCAATTTTGAGTTTCATAGCAAAGGGTCTGAATACTTATGTAAATTTTGTGTTTAAGTTTTTATATTTTATACATTTGCTCAAATTTATAAAAACATGTTTTCACTTTGTCATTATGGGGTATTGTGTGTACATTGATGAGGATTTGTATTTATTTAATCAATTTTAGAATAAGGTTGTAACGTAACAAAATTTGGAAAAAATCAAGGGGTCTGAATACTTTCCGAATGCACTGTAAGTAAGTTCCTTCAACCAGTTACTCACTAGGTCGAGGGTCATCATGTCCCGACATTGGGACATGATGACCTTCGTCCTAGTGAGGAAAGATCATCTTCAAACTTGTCAAAGGTATGTCTACTCTGTCATATGCTGTATGATATTATTTCTAGAGAGAATGAATAAGTCGGCTATTTACTTAGGGGCATTATTTTAGGCTAAGTGAAAAAACTATTGAAAGTAAAGGTTTGGCTGGATTTGTTGTTGTTGTTGCAATAGTGTCATATATAATTGTAGTTCATATTTTCCCCTTGTCTTTTCAAAGAACGGGGTATTTTGAATTCTCCAGTGGCCAGGAAAGTGCCACAAAACACCTGTGCATCCCCCACACTGGTCCAGGGTTTTCTACGCTCTTCTAATCTTGCCTGCCGTACTTTACAGCAAGTCCTCGCGGAAGTACTGACGTGTTCACATTAGCCGAACCAGCACGAGAGGTAGTTAGGTAGAGCCGAGAGTGACACAGCGGCAGAATCAGGTAAGAAAAACCTGTCTTGCAGCAGTATGTCTGTCAGTAGGAGTGTGAACATATGTTCTTTAGTTTTAGTGGAATTAAGGGGACCAATACCAAAGTAATATTTCAATTGAAATTCCTCTCTAAATATGGTGTCGAGAGGCTATGCATATGCTAGCTGGAAAGGGCTCGGTTTCTAACCGGAAGTGAGTTGTCAAATTCTCGAAGTTACTGCTGGTGGTTGTAGTTCAACGTCCCACTGTTTGTATCCATCAAAATGACAACATTGAGATTAAAGACTACAATTTCCATCTTTAGGGTAGCAGTGTTTAACTGTTTGATTCTCGCTGCACATTATGGGAAGTAGAGTGAATCCATCACTGTTTCACACACACTGTTAATGAAAGGTGGTTGTTTAAAAACTACACAAACCAGAAAGGGTTTATTTGGGGGGCATCACTAATTACCTAGTTAGCTTTTTTTGTAACGCTAGCTAACATCACTCACCCTGCTTGCGAGACATGAAAACATTGAATCAAAATTGCGTTGTGAATAAAAACACTTCAATACTAAACATATCCAATCTCACACACTATAAATAATTGTTTTAGCTGGCTACAGTAGCTAGCAACTGCATTCGTTGGCTCGCTCGCTAGCTAACCAGTAAACGATTCAACGTTGGAGAGCAAATAACAGCTAACTAGCCACATTATGAGAAGAGACCGTTTATGAGCGACTCAACTCCACAATTTACGATGGAGTTGCGCGCCGACTATGTTATGTTTAAAATATATATATATATATATATATATATTAACTACGGATTTCAGGGCTGTTCTTTGTGTGCTGAAATTTGTCGTTTTTGATACATTGAAATGTATGTGACTTCGGAACTCCAGTCTGCCCACATTAGTCGCGGCTCGTAAATCGTTGAGTTAAGTCGGCTATCAAGTCTATTGTCATTATCAGCTAACGTAAGTCTCACAATAATTGGACAGCTGTTTGATAAGCAACATGACGTGAAGGGAAATTAAAATGAAACTTTTCTATCGTTTGAGCCGGTAGACCTTCCAAGTGGGCTAGCCCAATTACAAGCCTAGGACTTTTGGGTGGGAAGAGTTGGGATAACATTAGACTGGGATAACATTAAACCAGTTCTTGGGCTTGAGGAGAAGAGATCTCCTCTGACTTCCCATTAACCAGCTCTGCAAATGTGATGTCAAAATACGTTCGGTACTTACCCAAAATATGGAGTTTTGCAGAGCAACTATAGTCATTACTGCCTTCATGCACAGTATGTACTTCTAAAAAAGGTCTAAATAAAAATTGTTTTGGACCATGTGCGCATGATTCACCTTCGGCATCTCCCAATATAATCACTTATTAATGCCACGCACAGGTAGGCTGATCCAGCAGCAGTACAGTATTCCTTAAGATCGTTGATTTTATTTAGACCTTCTTTGGAAGTACATACCATGCGGAACAGTAATGACAATAGTTGCTCTGCGAAAGTACAGAATGTATTTTGACATAACGTTTGCAGAGCTGGTTCAGGATAACATGTCAATTATCCTATGTTGATGTTAGGTTGATGTAGCTGACTAAAGTCAATTACATGGAGTTGAGCAGAGACCAGGTTTTGTGGAATTTAGCTCCGACTACATCGATTCGCCCAAGGTCAATATTTAAATCTATACGTTATTTTCAATAAACGTTAATCAAATACAACCACTGATTGTTTGCTCAATGCTATAAGATGTGCCAATTGAATAATTGTTTGGCGAATCAATTTAGTCAGAGCTGAATTCCACAAAGCCTGGACTCTGTTCATGGAGTTCATCAGAAACGTCCTTTAGTGGCCTCCCGAATGGCGCAGCGGTCTAAGGCACTGCATCTAGAGGAGTCACCACAGACCCGGGTTTGATCCTGCAGGCTGACCTCGGTCGTCGGTTGAACAGTGTTTCCTCCGACACATTGGTGCGGCTGGCTTCTGGGTTAAGCGGGCGGGTGATAAGAAGCGCGGTTTGGCGGGTCATGTTTCGGAGGATGCATGACTCAACCTTCGCCTCCTGAGCCCATTGGGGAGTTGCAGCGATGAGACAAGATCGAAAAAGGGGTTAAAAAAGAATAACTACCTTTACCTTGGAGTTGAGTTTAGTCAGCTAGGTCGCTGTATGTGAGTTGTTGCCATGTTATTACAGTGAGGGAAAAAAGTATTTGATCCCCTGCTGATTTTGTATGTTTGCCCACTGACAATGAAATGATCAGTCTATAATTTTAATGGTAGGTTTATTTGAACAGTAAGAGACAGAATATCTACAAAAAAATCCTGAAAAACTCATGTCAAAAATGTTATAAATTGATTTGCATTTTAATGAGGGAAATAAGTATTTGACCCCCTCTCAATCAGAGGGATTTCTGGCTCCCAGGTGTCTTTTATACAGGTAACAAACTGAGATTAGGAGCACACTCTTAAAGGGAGTGCTCCTAATCTCAGTTTGTTACCTGTATACAAGACACCTGTCCACAGAAGCAATCAATCAATCAGATTCCAAACTCTCCACAATGGCCAAGACCAAAGAGCTCTTTAAGGATTTCAGGGACAAGATTGTAGACCTACACAAGGCTGGAATGGGCTACAAGACCATCGCCAAGCAGCTTGGTGAGAAGGTGACAACAGTTGGTGAGATTATTCGCAAATGGAAGAAACACAAAAGCACTGTCAATCTCCCTCGGCCTGGGACTCCATGCAAGATCTCACCTTGTGGAGTTGCAATGATCATGAGAACGGTGAGGAATCAGCCCAGAACTACACTGGAGGATCTTGTCAATGATCTCAAGGCAGCTGGGACCATAGTCACCAAGAAAACAATTGGTAACACACTACGCCGTGAGGGTCCCCCTGCTCAAGAAAGCACATATACAGGGCCGTCTGAAGTTTGCCAATGAACATCTGAATGATTCAGAGAAGAACTGGGTGAAAGTGTTGTGGTCAGATGAGACCAAAATCGAGCTCTTTGGCATCAACTCAACTCGCCGTGTTTGGAGGAGGAGGAATGCTGCCTATGACCCCAAGAACACCATCCCCACCGTCAAACATGGAGGTGGAAACATTATGCTTTGGGGGTGTTTTTCTGCTAAGGGGACAGGACATCTTCACCGCATCAAAGGGACGATGGACGGAGCCATGTACCGTCAAATCTTGGGTGAGAACCTCCTTCCCTCAGCCAGGGCATTGAAAATGGGTCGTGGATGGGTATTCTAGTGTGACAATAACCCAAAACACACGGCCAAGGCAACAAAGGAGTGGCTCAAGAAGAAGCACATTAAGGTCCTGGTGTGGCCTAGCCAGTCTCCAGACCTTAATCCCATAGAAAATCTGTGGAGGGAGCTGAAGGTTCGAGTTGCCAAACATCAGTCTCGAAACCTTAATGACTTGGAGAAGATCCGCAAAGAGGAGTGGAACAAAATCCCTCCTGAGATGTGTGCAAACCTGGTGGCCAACTACAAGAAACGTCTGACCTCTGTGATTGCCAACAAGGGTTTTGCCATCAAGTACTAAGTCATGTTTTGCAGAGGGGTCAAATACTTATTTCCCTCATTAAAATGCAAATCAATTTATAACATTTTTGATATGCGTTATTCTGTCTCTCACTGTTCAAATAAACCTACCATTAAAATTATAGACTGATCATGTCTTTGTCCGTGGGCAAACGTACAAAATCAGCATTGGGAAACATCTACACACTCCTTCACGGCGTAGTGTGTTACCAATTGTATTCTTGGTGAATATGGTCCCAGCTGCCTTGAGATCATTGACAAGATCGTCCCGTGTAGTTCTGTCCTCCCGAGTGGCGCAGTGGTTTAAGGCATTGCATCGCAGTGCTAGCTTTGCCACTAGAGATCCTGGTTCGAATTAGCCCAGCGTCGTCCAGGGTAGGGGAGGGAATGGCCGGCAGGGATGTAGCTCAGTTGGTAGAGCATGGCGTTTGCAACGCCAGGGTTGTGGGTTCGATTCCCACGGGGGGCCAGTATGAAAAATAAAAAAAATGATGTATGCACTCACTAACTGTAAGTCGCTCTGGATAAGAGCGTCTGCTAAATGACTAAAATGTTTTTAAAAAATGGGATCAAATACTTTTTTACCTCACTGTATACGTGGAAAAGGACTAACAGAATAAATAAACTAGCTAGATATATAGCGAGCCAATTCAAAAATTAAATTACTGTAGCCTACCAATGTTAGGCTATTGGTATTCAGTACTATTTGCCAAATTGCTCTGAGCTATAGGCCAAATATCCTCAGGCTCATCTGTCCACACATTATTTACATGCAGCAAATCTACCCCTGCTTTGCGAGTCACAGCCAGGCAAGACGTTCTTGTCTTGAGAGCACACCTCATCAACACATTGTGTCGATAACACCTAAGTACTATAAACACTTCGTCTACAGATCCATACTCGCATTGCAAACAAAAAGCCTGTTGTGGTGAAATATGTTCAAGTAATACCTGGTAACAACCCTTTTCTCTCCTTCCACAGACAGGATGTCAGAAGGGGACAGTGTTGGTGAATCAATCCATGGGAAACCATCCACAATCGGCAGCTTCTTCACACGGGTTGGACAGGTACTGCTGCCGGGGCCTTTAGTTGGTCTCTCATCAAATGTCAAGAGGAAAGAAAACTAGGCTAAACCAAAGGAAACACTGCCACCACTGTTTTGATGAACATAACCATTGGACCCGCTAGAAATTGCACTTCAGATAAGACGACGTGAAAATGTGACGCTTAATCTAATGTTTACTGTTGCTCTCCTGGTATTAGTTGTGCACTGTGTCTTTCTGGTTCGTGTCTTTTCCAGATTTATCAGTCATGGCTAGACAGGTCGACGCCGTTCTCCATAGGGCGATGGGGAGTCACACTTTCGCTAACGGCCATCTACATGATCAGAGTGTACATATTACAGGTAAAGAAACACACAACACTCAGGGCTATTGCTGGGTTGCGTTCAGGAGGTTGCAACGTACTGAACACTCCAGATAGAAATGCCATGAGCAGAGCTGACGTGTTTCCTTTCTCAGCATGTCAAAAAGGTCTGTTCTGCACGATATATTTCTCTCTGAGCGTTCCACAACATTTCGCCCAACTGAATACGCACCTGACGTCTTTGAAGGTAGATTTGGCAATGTGGCATCACCATACACAGTGCGACAACTTCCTCCTTAGACAAAAACAACGAAAGTCAAATCTGCCAAGATTTGGGTATGCCTCAATGGAGGGAGGAAATTTGGAAGAGCCTGTAAGTGGCTTGTCAGATTTGAAATCTGTTGTTGATGACTATGATGATGTTATATTGCTGAGTTTGAACGTTAAGATATTTTTTTTTTGCAATGTGCCTTTAGGCGTAATATGCACTTGCTCACATCCAAGGAATAGAAGATCACTTTGGGAGCATCTAACTGTGTGAAAATGTAGGCTACCGTTTTCCCTTTAGACTAGTATTTCCCCATATATTGTCATCTCAGTCAATGTTTATACATTTGTGAATTATGTGAGGGAATATACACTACCAGTCGAATGTTTGGACACACCTACTCATTCAACGGTTTTTCTTAATTTTTTATATTTTTTACATTGTAGAATAATAGTGAAGACGTCAAAACTATGAAATAGCACATATGCAATTATGTAGTAACCAAAAAAGTGTTAAAGAAATCAAAATATAATTTAATTCAAATAGCCACCCTTTGCCTTGATGACAGATTTTCACACAGATTTGCACACATGTTTACGCTTATTTCATTTACAGTTTGGATAAGAGCGTCTGCTAAGTGTCATTTTCTAAATGTAATGTATGAAATTCAAATGAACACTAATATAAGTTTTCTCTGCTCCCTCCAGGGTTGGTATATTGTAACATATGCTCTGGGAATTTACCATCTCAACCTGTTCATCGCTTTTCTATCACCAAAAGTGGATCCATCAATGCTTGACGAAGGCAAGTTAGAGTTCATTGTACCATATTACATTCCTTTGGGTTGCAGTCATATTTAAGATGTTTACTTTCCTACATAAAGCGATGTACAGGAATGTCTTCTAGCGCTCACTCTTCATGAAGATACCCTCCATGTAGCATTGTGGCTAGAGACTATATTTAAAAAAAGCTTTGACGGGGGTGTGTATCTTTGGCCGACTACGCATCTCGATACACTGATGTGTATATGATTCAGGAAAGATACATTATAGTTTGGGACGATTCAATACGATATGGTTCAGTCCAATGCAAATAAATATTTATTTGCAGTGAATCTGGATACGTTTTCATCCTTATGATGACTAGACAAAGACTATAAAAAAATTACATTTTCTAATTGGATGATTCTCACGAAACTGGCACTTAACAAAAGAAAACTAATTCCTCTTGGATCACTAAGATTAGGATCTGTATTTACAGTGCCTTGCAAAAGTATTCAGCCCCCTTGGCGTTTTTCCTATTTTGTTGCATTACAGCCTGTAATTTAAATTGATTTTTATTTGGATTTCATGTAATGGACATACACAAAATAGTCCAAATTGGTGAAGTGAAATGAAAAAAATAACTTGTTTAAAAAAAATCAATAACGGAAAAGTGGTGCGTGCATATGTATTCACCCCCTTTGCTATGAAGCCCCTAAATAAGATCTGGTGGAACCAATTACCTTCAGAAGTCACATAATTAGTTAAATGAAGTCCACCTGTGTGCAATCTAATTGTCACATGATCTGTCACATGATCTCAGTATACAGTGGGGGAAAAAAGTATTTAGTCAGCCACCAATTGTGCATGTTCTCCCACTTAAAAAGATGAGAGGCCTGTTTTATCATAGGTACACGTCAACTATGACAGACCAAATTGAGAAAATGTTTTCCAGAAAATCACATTGTAGGATTTTTTATGAATTTATTTGCAAATTATGGTGGAAAATAAGTATTTGGTCACCTACAAACAAGCAAGATTTCTGGCTCTCACAGATCTGTAACTTCTTCTTTAAGAGGCTCCTCTGTCCTCCACTCGTTACCTGTATTAATGGCACCTGTTTGAACTTGTTATCAGTATAAAAGACACCTGTCCACAACCTCAAACAGTCACACTCCAAACTCCACTATAGCTAAGACCAAAGAGCTGTCAAAGGACACCAGAAACAAAATTGTAGACCTGCACCAGGCTGGGAAGACTGAATCTGCAATAGGTAAGCAGCTTGGTTTGAAGAAATCAACTGTGGGAGCAATTATTAGGAAATGGAAGACATACAAGACCACTGATAATCTCCCTCGATCTGGGGCTCCACGCAATATCTCACCCCGTGGGGTCAAAATGATCACAAGAACGGTGAGCAAAAATCCCAGAACCACACGGGGGGACCTAGTGAATGACCTGCAGAGAGCTGGGACCAAAGTAACAAAGCCTACCATCAGTAACGCACTACGCTGCCAGGGACTCAAATCCTGCAGTGCCAGACGTGTCCCCCTGCTTAAGCCAGTACATGTCCAGGCCCGTCTGAAGTTTGCTAGAGTGCATTTGGATGATCCAGAAGAGGATTGGGAGAATGTCATATGGTCAGATGAAACCAAAATAGAACTTTTTGGTAAAAACTCAACTCGTTGTGTTTGGAGGACAAAGAATGCTGAGTTGCATCCAAAGAACACCATACCTTCTGTGAAGCATGGGGGTGGAAACATCATGCTTTGGGCTGTTTTTCTGCAAAGGGACCAGGACGACTGATCCGTGTAAAGGAAAGAATGAATGGGGCCATGTATCGTGAGATTTTGAGTGAAAAAATCAGCAAGGGCATTGAAGATGAAACGTGGCTGGGTCTTTCAGCATGACAATGATCCCAAACACACCGCCCGGGCAACGAAGGAGTGGCTTCGTAAGAAGCATTTCAAGGTCCTGGAGTGGCCTAGCCAGTCTCCAGATCTCAACCCCATAGAAAATCTTTGGAGGGAGTTGAAAGTCCGTGTTGCCCAGCGACAGCCCCAAAACATCACTGCTCTAGAGGAGATCTGCATGGAGGAATGGGCCAAAATACCAGCAACAGTGTGTGAAAACCTTGTGAAGACTTACAGAAAACGTTTGACCTCTGTCACTGCCAACAAAGGGTATATAACAAAGTATTGAGAAACTTTTGTTATTGACCAAATACTTATTTTCCACCATAATTTGCAAATAAATTCATTAAAAATCCTACAATGTGATTTTCTGGATTTGTTTTCCTCATTTTGTCTGTCATAGTTGACGTGTACCTATGATGAAAATTACAGGCCTCTCTCATCTTTTTAAGTGGGAGAACTTGCACAATTGGTGGCTGACTAAATACTTTTTTCCCCCACTGTATATACACCTGTTCTGAAAGGCCCCAGAGTCTGCAACGCCACTAAGCAAGTGGCACCATGAAGACCAAGGAGCTCTCCAAACAGGTCAGGGACAAATTTGTGGAGAAGTTCAGATCAGGGTTGGGTTATAAAAAATATCAGAAACTTTGAACATCCCACGGAGCACCATAAAATCTATTATTAATAATATGGCACCACAACAAACCTGCCAAGAGAGGGCCGCCCACCAAAACTAACGGACCAGGCAAGGAGGGCGTTAATCAGAGAGGCAACAAAGAGACCAAAGATAACCCTGAAGGAGCTGCAAAGCTCCACAGCGGAGATTAGAGTATCTGTCCATAGGACCACTTTAAGCCATACACTCCACAGAGCTGGGCTTTACGGAAGAGTGGCCAGAAAAAAGCCATTGCTTAAAGAAAAAAATAAGCAAACACGTTTGGTGTTCGCCAAAAGCCATGTGGGAGACTCCCCAAACATATGGAAGAAGGTACTCTGGTCAGATGAGACCAAAATTGAGCTTTTTGGCCATCAAGGAAAACGCTATGTCTGGCGCAAACCCAACACCTCTCATCACCCCAAGAACACCATCCCCACAGTGAAGCATGGTGGTGGCAGCATCATGCTGTGGGGATGTTTTTCATCAGCAGGGACTGGGAAACTGATCAGAATTGAAGGAATGATGGATGGCGCTAAATACAGGGAAATTCTTGAGGGAAACCTGTTTCAGTCTTTTTTATTTATTTATTCATTTCACCTTTATTTAACCAAGGTAAGCCAGTTGAGAACAAGTTCTCATTTACAACTGCGACCTGGCCAAGATAAAGCAAAGCAGTGCGATTAAAAAACAACACAGAGTTACATATGGGGGTACAACAAAACATAAAGTCAAAAAATACAACAGAAAATATATATACAGTGTGTGCAAATGTAGCAAGTTATGGAGGTAAGGCAATAAATAGGCTATAGTGCAAGATAATTACAATTAGTATTAACACTGGAATGATAGATGTGCAAGAGATTATGTGCAAATAGAGATACTGGGGTGCAAATGAGCAAAATAAATAACAATATAGGGATGAGGTAGTTGGGTGGGTTAATTTCAGATGGGCTGTGTACAGGTGCAGTGATCGGTAAGGTGCTCTGACAACTGATGCTTAAAGTTAGTGAGGGAGATTAGTCTTCCAGAGATTTGAGACTGGGACGGAGGTTCACCTTCCAGCAGGACAATGACCCTAAGCATACTGCTAAAGCAACACTTGAGTGGTTTAAGGGGAAACATTTAAATGTCTTGGAATGGCCAAGTCAAAGCCCAGACCTCAATCCAATTGAGAATCTGTGGTATGACTTAAAGATTGCTGTACACCAGCAGAACCCATCCAACTTGAAGGAGCTGGAGCAGTTTTGCCTTGAAGAATGGGCAAAAATCCCAGTGGCTAGATGTGCCAAGCTTATAGAGACATACCCCAAGAGACTTGCAGCTGTAATTTCTGCAAAAGGTGGCTCTACAAAGTATTGACTTTGGGGGGTGAATAGTTATGCACGCTCAAGTTTTCTGTTTTTTGTCTTATTTCTTGTTTGTTTCACCCCCAAAAAATATTTTGCATCTTCAAAGTGGTAGGCATGTTGTGTAAATGAAATGATACAAACCCCCCCAAAATCATTTTTAATTCCAGGTTGTAAGGAAACTAAATAGGAAAAGTGTAAAGGGGGGTGAATACTTTCGCAAGCCACTGTAGCTATTTCATAATTATTATGTTTATTGATGAGATTATGCAATTTCCACATCTACCAATGCAAACATTCTCATTACTGCAACAGTTTTTGAAGTCCAAAATAGTAATAAACCAATTTCTAATACTTTTTTTTTGAATTGCTCACTTAATGAAAAGGCCTGAGTTAACATAACACTGAAAACAAATATATTTAAAATTACATTATGATTTTGTAACTTTTCATTACCGTAACACAACCTTTTCTGAATCTAGTTTTTTTTGTCATAATTACTTGTGTATACATGTTCTTTTTATGTACACATTTGGATAATGAGCAAAAGGCATACTATCAGATTAAGCCAAAATTACTAAAGTATACAATTTATTTTTCCTAATATTTTCTAAATATTGGTACATTATGGTAATGATAAGCAGGTTTCGGAGATGAGAATGAGTGTTTCATAGTTTGCGATTGAAAAACTGTGCTGAGCTCAATTAGAGATGCATATATATATATATATATATATATATATATATATATATATATATATATATATATATATACTGCTCAAAAAAATAAAGGGAACACTAAAATAACACATCCTAGATCTGAATGAATTAAATAATCTTATTAAATATTTTTTTCTTTACATAGCTGAATGTGCTGACAACAAAATCACACAAAAATTAACAATGGAAATCAAATTTATCAACCCATGGAGGTCTGGATTTGGAGTCACCCTCAAAATTAAAGTGGAAAACCACACTACAGGCTGATCCAACTTTGATGTAATGTCCAGAGAAAGCTTGTTGGACACTAAGAAAGCTTTGTTGTAGAGAGTTTAACACTAAATCCGGGGAGGGGCCAGCTGAGTATAAGACTGTATCATCTGCATATAAATGGATGAGAGAGCTTCCTACTGCCTGAGCTATGTTGTTGATGTAAATTGAGAAGAGCATGGGGCCTAGGATCGAGCCTATGTTCTGACTTTATACACTCTGACTTTATACACTGCACTCTTTGAGAGAGGTAGTTAGCAAACCAGGACAAAGACCCCTCAGAGACACCAATACTTCTTAGCCTGCCAAGAATGGAATGGTCTACCGTATCAAAAGCTTTGGCCAAGTCAATTAAAATAGCAACATTGCTTAGAATCAAGGGCAATGGTGACATCATTTAGGACCTTTAAGGTTGCAGTGACACATCCATAACCTGAGCAGAAACCAGATTGCATACCAGAGAGAATACTATAGACATCAAGAAAGCCAGTCAGTTGATTATTGACAAGTTTTTCCAACACTTTTGATAAAAAGGGCAAAATAGAAATTGGCCTATAACAGTTAGGATCAGCTTGATCTCCCCCTTTAAATAAAGGACACACCGTGGCTGCCTTCCAAGCAATGGGAACCTCCCCAGAGAGGAGAGACAGGTTTAAAATGTCAGAGATAGGCTTGGCGATGATAGGGGCTGCAACCTTAAAGAAGAAAGGACCCAGATGGTTTTTTGGGGTCAAGTTTAAGGAGCTCCTTTAGCACCTCAGTCAGTGACTGCCTACAGGGAGAAACTTTGTAGCGGTGCAGGGGAAAAAGAGGGAGGAGCATCAAGGTTAGTCGCATTATAGAAGGGGTGGGAGATGAGGAAATGTTGGACGGGCAATGAGGCATGGCTGAGCCAAATAGGAATCCTGACGTGGTGAATAAAGAGCTCAGCCATGTGCTCCTTGTCAGTAACAACCACATCATCAACTTTAAGGTACATGGGCAGCTGTGAGGAGGAGGGTTTATTCTCCAGGTCATTAACCATTTTCCAGAACTTCTTGGGGTTAGACCCACAGAGAGAGAACTGCTCCTTAAAGTAACTAACTTTGGCCTTCCGCATAGCCTGAGTGCACTTATTTCTCATTTGCCTGAACGAGAGCCAGTCAGCCTGAGTATGCGTGTGCTGAGCCTTTCGCCAAATGGAATTCTTGAGGTGGAGTAATTCTGCCAGATCACGGTCGAACCAGGGGCTGAACCTGTTTTTAATTCTCATTTTCTTTATGGTGGCGTGTTTGTTAACAATACCACTGAAAAATATAAAAAAAGAAGGTCCAAGCGTCTTCGACAGAGGGGAGCAAGCTGTGTCTATACCAATTTACAGAGGCCGGGACATGAAGGAAGGCTTGCTCATTAAAGTTTTTTAGCAAGCGTCAATGACAAATCAGGACAGGTCGTTTCACTGAGCAGCTATTACGAACAAAGGCTGTAAAACAGTGATCACTAAGGTCATTACAGAAAACACCAGACTGATACCTATCAGGATTATTTGTGAGGATAACATCAAGGAGAGTAGCCTTTTCTGGGTGTTTGGAGTCATACCTTGTGGGATTGGTAATAATCTGAGAAAGATTTAGGGAGTCCCATTGCTTTAGGACTTGGCATGGGGTTTAAGCACAAACAGGTGGACAGAGACTTGCTAGGTACGATCAGTCCAAAGTCACAAACAAAACAAAAACAGGTGGACAGAGACTTGCTAGGTACGATCAGTCCAAAGTCTGCGGTGTGTGTGCTGGAGGCGAGCGAAAGCTCAGGAGAGAGGGGGAAGTGTGGCGGGGGTTCCTGTACCAGACCGGGTGAGACAGGCCAGGGCAGACGGTGAACAGATCGCCAGGTGGAATCCGTGCAGCAGGCAACGGGAGTAGGTGTCACACCCGCTTGGGAGAAGCTAGCTGGTTGGGATTTTCTACAAGGAATCTGCCTCCCGAAAAAAAGCTTCTCCCAAAAAAGCTTCTCCCAAGCGGGTGTGACACCCAGGAAAACACAGAATTTCTAATTTGGTCCCAGGCTGAAAAAGTTTAAGAACCCCTGCACTAGAGAAACAAGATATTGGAGAGCTCCTTTCCTTTCAATGTGGTGAGAGTAACTTAGTAACCCAAAAGCTTCCAAAGAAATACCTTTCTATGTAAATACTATTTAAATGCCTTTTAGTGACATTTTGGTATTTAAAACAGAATGCAAGATGTCTACACCAGTGCTCTTATCGGGATGCCGTTGGGATCGGTTTTGAAACTCTGTTGTCACTGTTCTTGTTTTGAGTCCATTTGTTTGGCTAGCAACGTGATCCTTGCTGTAACTTTGCTCCCCCTCCACTCACCTGTAGATGAGGGCCCGGCGCTCCCCACCAAGCAGAATGAGGAGTTCCGTCCATTCATCAGGAGGTTGCCTGAATTCAAATTCTGGTGAGAGCCCCCAATGACCGCACCATCTATAGCTGTCATCTACCCAGCTTGGCCTTTCACTGAACTGGGCTGAGCTACAGGCTTATGCTTGCATAATTTGTGCCCCCTATTTCTGACATCCTACCACAGTGTCCTGTCGGAATATTCCACCAATCTTTGAGTGAATGATTCAATGTCACACAGAAAATACACAAAATCCATGGAAAGTGAGAACACATATTGACGTAGTACACTGTGACATGTGTAATACTGTCCAGCCATGTAATGGATGTTGTGTCCTATGTCCCGCTATTCAATAGCCTGGTTCACAGAAAATAAGCTCCTCCACACTGCCCCTTGCAAAGTATCACTCCTTTATTCTGTTCACTCACCAAGTAGCCAGCTCACCCACCAATGTGAAGATATTCTTGGCCTGTGAAAGTATATTTCCAATATGACGCTGCACTAGGATGGCTCTATGGACTTTTACAATCTAGCCTAGCTTTCCAGTACAAAGCTGTATTGTTGTACATATTTTCCTTACTATCAAGGCCATTTCATTCCCAGCCTGAACCTATAACAACAATGCTAATATGTACTGGAGGTGGCACTGACAAGTACGTTGTTGCCCATACCTATGATTATGGTAGGAAATAGAAACCTCTGGTGTTTAGCTTTGTGGTTTTCTTTTGCTATTTTTACCACTGTCTACAGGCAGGAACTTACTATCATTAAGGCTATCATTAACGCTGACACATTGTTTTTGTGTGCGTGTGTTTTTCTTTTATGTCTTCAGGCATTCGGCAACGAAAGGCATCGTCATCGCCATGATTTGCACATTCTTTGAAGCCTTCAACGTGCCAGTGTTCTGGCCCATACTTGTAATGTACTTCATCATGCTTTTCTGTATCACCATGAAGAGGCAGATCAAGGTATGGGAAACCCAGTGACGCTGCTGCTTACTCTGCGTGATATCTATATATATAGTCGTATCAGACGATTCGTAGCTAAATGTATCACAGTCATACAATCCTAATGAATTCCTCTGCTATTGATATGTATCTGTAATTAATCATGCTAGTCAATTGTCTCTTCAAGACGTTTCACTTAGAGTTCAGTGAATAGAACATCTTTGTGAATGTGGCTAACTTTATTTTTCTTCTCCTACCTTCAGCATATGGTCAAGTACAGATACCTTCCCTTCACACACGGGAAGAGGACTTACAGAGGCAAGGAAGAAACCGGGAAACCTTTTGCTAGTTAAAATCAAACATTCCCCCTTAACCCCCCCGCCCCCATTTGAAAATTACAAGTTATGGAAAAATAGTATATGTGGGTAAAAGGGGTCAGTGATTGTCTGTGGGGGGAAAAAAATAAAAAAAAAGATTAAAAAAATAGTTTGGATTCAAAATGTTGACAGTATTGGATGGTAGTAGTGCTGAGGATTGATGTAGTCACAAGAGGACACGCTGCCTATGGTTATTATGGGGATGGGGATATGAGATGGCCAGTCATATCACAGCCGCGGGATACCTTTGTATTTGGTCAGTGGATGAAACGCAGTGCCGCCCTTTGCCTTGTAACCCCATGGGTTAAGTATAAACTCTGCTAGAGGGGGCAGCACTGGATGGATTGCAGTAGAAATTCAGTTGTGGATTCTTAACGACGATCCATTTCTAACTGCTCTGCTCGGCTCTGTCTCCAAGGGAAATACAATTTTGCCAACTACTTTTGATTAAAGACATGGTACCTACTCGTTTATAATGTGTTAAATGGGAGGTCCTTAGGTTTTAGAATGAAATAACTTGATTAGATGTACTTTTTTTGGGGGGGGGGGGGGGGGGGGGGGGGGGGGAGTAAATATGAACGTTTTAAATTGATGTGTGTCTGTGATCAAGTGTATTTTTGCACTGGCTTTAGACTCACACCAGAAATTTTCCTTTGTGTAATGCAGTTCATTTTTAGTGACTGGTTACGCTTCAGTTGAACACATTCACTACATACAACACCTATCATAACTATTCAGAACCATAGTCCAACAATCTGTTGATGGCACAAGCAGTGATTTAGGTATAGGAGATTGGCTAGATAACAAGTTAGCGAAGAGTGAAAATCACTGCATGGCCAGGACAGAGTTGGTGTACTCTCCAGAGAATATCATCATGGAGGATTATGAAATGTCATGTTTTTTACAACATTATGTACGGTGAGGTTTAGGAAAGCCCAGTTCAAGTTGTGTGGCTGATTATTTTAATTTGTTCCTGTTTTGCCCTCTGTAGCCATAGAATCCCTTTTGTGTTTATTCCCTCCGCTTTCCCATCATGTCAAAATACGCTTTGCTTGTACAGTTGAAGTGAAATATAATACTGTCATTCAGCACTCCTGGAAACTAAATGACAGAGATTACTTTACGTCTAGCTATGGGCAAGCGAATCAAGTAGTTCAACCTCAGATTTATGCTTTGCGGCCCCTGTGAATATAATTTTTGGGGTTCAGATTTCTTAAAATGTACATCATAGTATCATACCCGTATTCTAATGATTATTTCCTTACAAAAAAGTTATCCCCTGAAAGACCCTATAGTTTGAACAAGCAGTTTAGCCAACTATTTAAAAACTGGGGTATATTCCATTCAAATCTAGTAGCCTGATACTCACATTCTGTATTTTTCTTTTGACAAATATGTGGTAATAGTCTAATCATTCCATACAAAAATATTTTCTCTTTCTCTTCTTTTGCAGAGGAAACATAAGAAAAGTGAGATTGAGAGCTTTTAATGTAACAAATGGATGAAGGGGGTATGCCGGGGATCTTATGAAAAGTATGCGGTGGTATTTTTGGTAACCAGAGACATTTTGGAAAACCTTTGATCAGCACTAGTGAAGGATCAAAACATTTTTCCTGTCAAAGTACATCATTTTTCCAAGGGTTTCTTGAGGATTTATATCAATTTTAAAGATTACATTTGTTTTGAGATTATTTTGAACATTCTTTTTTTTTCTTCAAACATAACTGTTTCCAAGTGTTCAAGTCATTGTATGTCATTTTAGAAAACTAAACTAGTCAAATTGATTTCTAGATTTATAAACTTTCTCATGAAAGAGATTGCATGTTCTTGGTTGCTCTTGTGCTGCAATTATAAACAAAAAAAATGATTTTAATAACTAAGTGTCATTTTTTTCACTCCAAACGCTATTAAAGAGACTGTGTCCCTTCAAATGAGGTGTGGCTGTTTCTGCTTCATGTTTTGGGACCGTTGACATTTGTCTGTTAACTTGAATCCATTCCTGCTTTTAGAAGTAACCATTAGGGTGGAAGGTAGACAGTTCGAATCCCGGGCCAAGCACTGGAAAATTAGGGGGAATTGATCTGGCAACTGGAGGGCTGCTGGGTTCACATCCTAGAGACCTTCCCCTAGCGTTGGGCCCTTGAGCAAGGCCATTAACCCCACAACTGGGAGGGGGTGGGTGGGGAGGCACCTCATTCATATTTTAGGTCACTACTAGCAATACAAGGCTTATTGTCCAGCACTACTCATTTGCTTCCAGTCTGACTAAGTAATGACTGGCTGGTGTAATGATGCATATTTAATAAACACATGAATTGCATCCCTATGTAAAGTGGGGGAGCCATCATCAGTGGCACCTGAGCATTTGGTGTGGACACAGGCACACTGTTTTTTTCAGATACTACATGTGAAGACAATGATGTAGCATATCCTAGCCCTGCTGGTAATGCTGGGGTATTTTCAGCATGCCCTACCTGAATAATTGTCTTGCCCAGCCTCTGAGTTTAAACTGGATGGAGAATATATACTGGGAGGACTTTTCGATATTTATCATGCCAGCAGCTCAGTTCTTTACAACACACCGGAGACTGGATTGCTCTCTGTGGGTACTGTAGCATACAATTCAACATACCTTTCCACCTTCAGGGAACTCCCAAATCTGGACCTGGAGAGCAACGAGGTGTGCAGGTTGTTGTTTTTTACAGCCCAACTCTTCCTAAAACTGGTATAAAGAACAATGCAAAAACCCAACTATATTCTTATGAAGCCCTTTTATTAAAATTAAATGTTGCTAAAAGTTCATTTTAAGTGTTTTAATATTAGCCTAATTCAGTGCATCAAATTGTTTAAATAATGGAAACAAAATGTGTTCTTAGTGCATTCAGAAAGTACTCAGACCCCTTGACTTTTTCCACATTTTGTTACGTTACAGCCTTATTCTAAAATTGATTAAATATGTATTTTTTCTCATCAATCTACACACAATACCCCATAATGACAAAGTGAAAACAGGTTTTTAGATTTTTTTGCAAAATTATTAAGAATAAAATACAAAAATGCCTTATTTACATAAGTATTCAGACCCTTTGCCATGATACTCTAAATTGAGCTCAGGTGCATCCTGTTTCCATTGATCATCCTTGAGATGTTTCTACAACTTGATTGGAGGTAAATTCAATTGATTGGACATGGTTGAGAAAGGCACACACCTGTCTATATAAGGTCCCACAGTTGACAGTGCATGTCACAGCAAAATAATCCATGGAATTGTCCGTAGAGCTCCGAGACGGGATTGTGTGAGGGCACAGATCTAGGGAAGGGTACCAAAACATTTCTGCAGCATTGAAGGTCCCCAAGAACACAGTGGCCTCCATCACTCTTAAATGGAAGAAGTTTGGAACCACCAAGACTCTTCCTAGAGCAGGCCGCCCGGCCAAACTGAGCAATCGGGGGAGAAGGCCCTTGGTCAGGGAGGTGACCAAGAACACAATTGTAACTCTGACAGAGCTCCAGAGTTTCTCTGTGGAGATGGGATAACCTTCCAGAAGGACAACCATCTCTGCAGCACTCCACCAATCAGGCCTTTATGGTACAGTGGCCAGACGGAAGCGACTCCTCAGTTAAAGGCAGATGACAGCCCGCTTGGAGTTTGCCAAAAGGCACCTAAAGGACTCTGACCATGAGAAACAAGATTCTCTGGTCTGATGAAACCAATATTTAACTCTTTGGCCTGAATGCAAAGTGTCAAGTTATAATCTTCGTAAATTATATCATCGGTAGGATGCAGCAAACAAAAACATGGAAATGTCTGCTCTACCCAAAATTACAACCAAATAATTGCAGCATTACCGCAAAAATGGAAGAGGAAAGTGGAAGGGGGAAAATGTAATGAACTTGTCTGTCGGCCTTGCATTAAAGAACATAATTGGTTAAAGAAAACTGTGATAAATAACAAAGTATACCAGTTTAATTTAAGGACCAAAGGATTGACAGCCGTCCCATATAGATTGCAAAATAGTTGCGAAGAGATTTTTGACGTACCGATCCCATGGCATAGTGTTTATGAACTGATATGCTAAACGACGCCGGATTCAAAACGTATAATTTTTCAATTTAAATTATTATATAAAATTCTTGCTACCAATAGAATGTTATTTATATGAGGGATACAATCTTCCCAGCTCTGCAGATTTTGCTGCGAAGAGACAGAATCATTAGATCATTTGTTTTGGTACTGTCCATTTGTAGCTTGTTTTTGGACACAGATCCAGGAATGGCTAAAGGATTGCAATATTTACCTGGAGCTAACCCTGCAGATAGCATTACTGGGTGATCTGAAAAGTCATAGTCAATCGATCAATAATAAAATAATACTATTAGCAAAAATGTTTATTTCAATTTACAATCTGTAGAAACAATGATAATAGAAAGGTTCAGAACTTTTGTAAAACATCACAGTACAGTTGAAAAATATATGGCAAATATAAATCTAATATGGATGGTGTTAAGAGATAGATGGGAGGTGTTGAATGGAGGTGAAGGATGGGACTAATAACAACTAACAACAACTAATAACAACAAGATAACTAATAATGTAAGCATACTGTGTCCATAATAAGTATATAGGTCGAGAGCTTTTGTGAAAGAGCACAGTTAGAAAGATATGGCATATAGAAGCAAACCGGATGGACATCATGAAAATGATTGGAGAGGTTGAGGGTAGAGGAAGTTCAGGAGTAAAAACAAACAAAATAGAATTATTGTAAAATTGACTGTGTCCATAAAATGTATATAGTATGTATAAGCTGGAAGTAGAGGCCTAAGCATTGTTGTTCACTAGTTTACTCCAATTAGGGAAGGGGTTGGTGGGGTTGGAAAGTAATAAAGGGAAATATATTTTAAAAAAGGAAATGTATGTGTATGTATGTATATGTATATGTATGTATGTATATACAGCTGTGGAAAAAATTAAGAGACCACTGCACATTTTTCTTAAATCAGCATCTCTACATTTATGACAGCCATTCCATTCCAGTGTCTGTTGAATTCCAACACAGGCAAACCTCATTCTACTGAATTAGGTACTGATTAGGTGATCACATGAACCAAATCTTATTTAACGAGGAAAATTATAAAAACCATTGCTGTGGCCATCACTATCCTCTTGCAATAGGACCAGCTGGATGGCAAAAACAGTGCTAATAGTACCTCAAAAGTAATATTAATCAAAAAATAACTATTGACCATGCCAAAAGAGTTGAAAAGGAAAGTTTTGAGTGAGGAAAAGAAGGGTTCAATTCTGGCTTTATTGGCAGAGGGATACAGTGAGTGTCAGGTTGCTTCCATCCTTAAAATTTCAAAGATGGCGGTTCATAAGAACAAGGTCAAGCAGCAGACATTGGGGACAACAAAGCTACAGACCGGCAGAGGGCGAAAACGACTCTCTACTGACCGGGATGACCGCCAACTCATTTGAATGTCACTCAACAACCGTAGGGTGACATCAAGTGACCTACAAAAAGAATGGCAAACGGCAGCTGGGGTGAAGTGCACAGCGAGGACGGTTCGAAACAGGCTCCTAGGGGCAGGGCTGAAGTCGTGCAACGCTAGAAAAAAGCCCTTCATCAATGAGAAGCAAAGAAGAGCCAGGCTGAGGATTGCAAAAGACCATAAGGATTGGACCGTAGAGGACTGGAATAAGGTAATCTTCTCTGATGAGTCCAATTTTCAGCTTTGCCCAACACCTGGTCGTCTAATGGTTAGACGGAGACCTGGAGAGGCCTACAAGCCACAGTGTCTCGCACCCACTGTGAAATTTGGAAGAGGATCGGTGATGATCTGGGGGTGCTTCAGCAAGGCTGGAATCGGGCAGATTTGTCTTTGTGAAGGACGCATGAATCAAGCCACGCACAAGGTTGTCCTGGAAGAAAACTTGCTTCCTTTTGCTCTGACATTGTTCCCCAACTCTGAGGATTGGTTTTTCCAGCAGGACAATGCGCCATGCCACACAGCCAGGTCAATCAAGGTGTGGATGGAGGACCACCAGATCAAGACCCTGTCATGACCAGCCCAATCTCCAGACCTGAACCCCATTGAAACTTCTGGAATGTGATCAAGAGGAAGATGGATGGTCACAAGCCATCAAACAAAGCCGAGCTGCTTGAATTTTTGCGCCAGGAGTGGCATAAAGTCACCCAACATCAATGTGAAAGACTGGTGGAGAGCATGCCAAGACGCATGAAAGCTGTGATTGAAAATCAGGGTTATTCCACCAAATATTGATTTCTGAACTCTTCTTAAGTTAAAACATTAGTATTGTGTTGTTTTAAAATGAACATGAACTTATTTTCTTTGCATTATTCGAGGTATGACAACACTGCATCTTTTTTGTTATTTTGACCAGTTGTCATTTTCTGCAAATAAATGCTCTAAATGACAATATTTTTATTTGGAATTTGGGAGAAATGTTGTCAGTAGTTTATAGAATAAAACAAAAATTTTATTTTTACCCAAACACATACCTATAAATAGTAAAACCAGAGAAACTGATAATTTTGCAGTGGTCTCTTAATTATTTCCGCAGCTGTATATATATATATATGCGAGAAAAAACAAACATATGGGGGATTGGAAGTGATGTAGGCAATTACATTGATGGAAGTTACAATCTATCTGCAATATTAAAGCTGATCTACCCCCTAAATAAAAATAAATAAAAAAAGTGTCAAGTCTGGTGGAAACCTGGCACCATCCCTAAGGTGAAGCATGGTGGTGGCAGCATCATGCTGTGGGGATGGTTTTCAGCGGCAGGGACTGGGAGACTAGTCAGGATCGAGGGAAAGATGAACGGAGAAAAGTACAGAGAGCTCCTTGATGAAAACCTGCTCCAGAGCGCTCAGGACCTCAGACTGGGGTGACGGTTCACCTTCCAACAGGACAACGACTCTAAGCACACAGCCAAGACAACGCAGGAGTGGCTTCGGGACAAGTCTCTGAATGTCCTTGAGTGGCCCAGCCAGAGCCCGGACTGGAACCTGATCTCACATCTGTAGAGACCTGAAAATAGCTGTGCAGCGACGCTCCCCATCCAACCTGACAGAGCTTGAGAGGATCTGCAGAGAAGAATGGGAGAAACTCCCCAAGTACAGGTGTGCCAAGCTTGTAGCGTCATACCCAAGAAGACTCGAGGCCATAATCGCTGCCAAAGGTGCTTCAACAAAGTACTGAGTAAAGGGTCTGAATACTCATGTAAATGTGATATTTCAGTTTCTTTTTTTTTCATAAATCTGCCGACATTTCTAAAACCTGTTTTTGCTTTGTCATTATGTACCCCAGGTTTGTGTGTAGATTGATTATCCATTTTATAATAAGGCTGTAACATAATAAAATGTGGAAATGGTCAAGGGGTATGAATACTTTCCGAATGCACTTTATAACACAGTTGACCTAGATCAGGAAAAAACGTTTTATGCATGGCATATCTCATTGCAAAGTTAGGTTTCAGTTTATCAAAAAAATCTGACATCATGGTAGTGATCTTTGCTGATGATGACTGAATATAGTTGCGCAGTGTAGGGAAATGGAGCATTATGTTTGGCCTCAAATCATAGGAGAAAATAACACTTATTTTAATAAAAAGTCAGTTTTGTCAATCATGTCAATAACTGTTTTATTGCTCCCCTGTAGTCCCAAATTATGTCCATTCAATTGATTTAAGATGTCACTAAAAAACTAACATCTAATATGAACTCCTCATCAAACATTTTCGCTTGATATGTGTTGGCTTTCTTGTGGCAGAGAAAAGCAACTATCTCCTCCGTAAACTCACATAGGCTGTTCTCTTGAGAGGATTTAATTTTTTTTGTTCAGTACCTGTACAGAATGCAATTTAGGAAGCTTATTGGTTCTCAATGGGTTAAGGGCTCGATTCAATCCGTAGCGCTGAAGATCCGCGCTTTAGCGTGATTGAAATGTAAAGGCAATGTTCCCTCGTTCTCGGAGACTGCATTCACGTTAAAAGCTGCATATGTCGGCTTAATCGGAAATTACCTTTACATTTCAATTGTGGTATGCAGAGGATCTTCAGCGCTACGGATTGAATCAAGCCCTTTAGTCAAATCAAATCAAATCAAATCAAATTTTATTGGTCACATGCGCCGAATACAACAGGTGCAGACATTACAGTGAAATGCTTACATACAGCCCTAAACCAACAGTGCATTTATTTTAAACAAAAAAAGTAAAAATAAAACAACAACAAAAAAAAAGTGTTGAGAAAACACATGACTTTAGTAACATTAAACCAAATACTTGAGTTGATTGCATTTTGTCCCTATCACTCCCACTGATTTTTAGCAGTGGTTAAAGTTAGCTGAAGTTGTAGAGGCTGTTTAAAGAACAGAACCTTGGATTACAGTTTCTCCTGCCCCATAGACTACTTCCAGGGTGATGAACCACCTAGTGGACAAATAAGTTGAATCAAACTGCAGTGTTAAGTGATGAAACATTTCAAATTGCTTATGCCAGTAGTCACACACACGGTTCCTCTTTCCACAGACAGTAATTTACCCTGTCAAGTTATCGGATGTTTCAGGTGATGAGGTTTACTGTACAAGAGATCAATAACTCAAGCCTCATCCTTCCCAATGTATCGCTTGGTTACGAGATACTCAACCACTGCTCAGACGTCTTCAACTTTCAGGCAATCTTGAAATTGATCAATTCAATTTCAGAGGAGCATCAACGAGTATCTGTCCGGTACATTTAGAAGCACGGAATCCGTGACTGTTGCTCCCTTGTTCGCGATGAATCTCATTCCCATGGTAATACATTACATTAGGGCATTTTGATCACATTTTAAAAGTGTATTAGGGGTAATAGGGCTGGTGTGGCCAACCCTCCTCCTGGAGAGATACTGGGTGTGCAGGCATTTGTTCCAGCCCTGCTCTAAATTGCTTGATTAGCTGAATCTGTTGTGTTTGAGCAGGGCTGGAACAAAAGCCTGCACTCATAGAAGCTCTCTAGGAGGTGGGTGGGGTAGGTCACAACCCCACCCCAGGTTATTATTATCCATGTTTGTCTAAAATCAAAATGTCTTTCTTCACAGGTAAATTATTGGTCCTCCAGTTCTGTTTTAAGTGAGAAGAGTAAATATCCCTAATTCCTGCGAACCACACCTAGTAACAAAGACAATACATCTGATCGTTCTGATTATACAGCACTTCAATTGGGACTGGGTTGCTTTCATCAGCAGCAGTGACGAGTACAGTCAAAATGGCCTACAGCTATGCTGAAAGGCATTAAGATCTGTTTGGCTCATTCAGAAGAGCTCAATGAAAAGTCTGATCACTATGAGATCCTTCAAAACTTAGAGAGTCTTAGCATAGAGGTCATTATAGTTTGTACCATGCAGAGAAGTGCTATTGCATTCATGAAATAAGCAATCAAGTACTACATACACAACAAAGTGTGAATCTCAGGCGACACTTGGTCCTTGAACAAGAAACTCCCCAGATTGAGCGGAATCAAGGCGATTGGCACCGTCATTGGGGTAGCAGAGACAGTGGTGCCATTACCTGATTTTAAAGGCCAAGTGCAGTAAGAAACGTGACTGTCCTGTGTTTTATATATACTGAACAAAAATATAAATGCAACATGCAACAATTAAATATATTTTACTGAGTAAAGTTCATATAAGGAAATCAGTCAATTAAAATAAATTCATTAGGCCCTAATCTATGGATTTCATATGACTGGGAATACAAATATGCATCTGTTAGTCACAGATACCTTAACAAAAAAGTAGGGGCATGGATCAGAAAACCAGTCAATATCTGGTGTGACCACCATTTCAAATCAAATTTAATTTGTCACATGCGCCGAATGCAACCTTAAAGTGAAATGCTTACTTACATTTTACATTACATTTTAGTCATTTAGCAGACGCTCTTATCCAGAGCGACTTACAGTTAGTGAATACATATATATATTTTTTTATACTGGCCCCCCGTGGGAATAGAACCCACAACCCTGGCGTTGCAAACGCCATGCTCTATCAACTGAGCTACATCCCTGCCGGCCATTCCCTCCCCTACCCTGGACGACGCTGGGCCAATTGTGCGCCGCCCATGAGTCTCCCGGTCGCGGCCGGCTGCGACAGAGCCCTTAACCAACAATGCAGTTTTAAGAAAGAATACCCAAATAAAACACACCAAAAAATACATTATAAAATAATATGAAATAAAAGTAACAAATAATTAAAGAGCAGCAGTAAAAATAACAACAGTGAGGCTATATACAGGGGGTAGTCAATGTGCGGGGGCACCGGTTAGTCGAGGTAATTGAGGTAATCTGTACATGTATGTAGAGTTATTAAAGTGACTATGCATAGATAATAAACAGAGAGGGGGGCAATGCAAATAGTCTGGGTAGCCATTTGATTAGATGTTCAGGAGTCTTATGGCTTGTGGGCAGGGGCGGTGTGTTCATTAGGGCGATATGGGCGACGCACTGCCAAACGGGAAAAGGAAGGGATTTTTTTTCTAATCAATTATATCACGGCAACAGTAGTTTTCAGTGTTCTAATCTAGACGTCTGATCTGCCACTAAATGTCCAATCAGGCTAAAGTCGTGCTTCAAATGGCCCCGCCCGTTTTGGGGCGATTTCAGTCAGGTTGAAAATCGCCCCAGAAGTCTCTCAGACTCTCATGTAAAATCTTTTTTTTCAATACAATCTCTATGGGTTCCGGGAGGGCTTGCACTTACGCGCTTCCGTCATACGTAACATAACCATGAACATAACTAAGAAAAGAGCGGGTAGCAGCGTCAATCAATTCACGTACTACTGTGAAGATGGCTAGCGTTCAGTGCAACTCAATTGTCTCTTTGAAAGAAGTTCATTTTTGTCGGCGAACAAATCAAGATAAATTGGCAACGAAACAATTAGGACCTCCCAGACCAAATTTAATAATTCAACAGGTTTCTACTAAAGGGGGAAAGTCCTACACCCGAGGATTTTCCAAAAATTGGTACGAACGAAAAACCTGGCTAGCAGGCTGCAATGTAGCTAATGCAGTCTTCTGCTACCCCTGCTTACTCTTTCACCCTGAAGGCGGCACGGCAGACAGCACCGCTTGGACAGCGACTGGTGTAACGGACATGCACCATCTTTCAGAAAAGATTAAGAAACATGAGCTGTCAAAGACCCACATGGATAGCTGTTTGAGATTGTCTGCTTTGGGGAGAGTGAACATTGCCACTCAACTGGATGAGGGATACAGGCTAGCTGTCCGCCGCCACAACGATGAGGTTAGCAAGAACCGCCACATCCTCAGCCGGCTAATCCAGTGTGTGAAGTTTTGCGGAGTGTTTGAGTTAGCTTTGCGAGGCAAAGATTAAACTGAGGGCTCCACCAACCCTGGAATTTTTCTTGGACTTGTCAACTTTGTGGCACAATTAGATGAGGTGTTTGATGACCATCTTAAAAATGCTAAAGTTTTCAAGGGCACATCAAAGACCATTCAAAACGAGCTACTGGAGTGTATGCTAGCGGTCATGAGGGAACATATTGTGGAGGAGGTGAAGTCGGCGAACTTCGTAGCTATCCAAGCTGACGAGACCACGGACGTTTCTACACAGACACAGCTGGTGCTTGTGCTGAGGTACATAGATAGCAAGAAGATTTACTTTTTTTCCTGGGGCTTTTTCACAAAATCATGCCCCACGTCGACATTCTGTACCATAAGCTACAGAAGAAGGACATCGATGCTGTCTTCATCAAACGTGCCCTCGACAGCTTCACAAGCAGTGTGCAGGCCATAAGGTAAGATTAAACAATATCATTCGATCTTTCTCAAAGCAGAGCTTTATTTGAAAATGTATGCATGAAAGGAGACATCATCATATTTACAAATCTATACAATTGGCCAGAATATGGTTGTTCATTTTTACAAAGCCATACAGATAGCTGTGTTTACCTTTTCTAGAAATTATTTTCAAATTCTGTTTTCAGGCAAAATGTCTATCACTGTTCATTTTCACAAATCTATACAAGAGGGCAGAATATGGAAGTCTATAAAAATGTCTTATTACCAATAACTTGCATCAATGTTTTCAGTAGCCTCTATCAAAAGCTCCTGCTTGCTTGTTGTGAATTATGCTCAGGTGCACATATTTCCAATTCAACCATGAGGCCTTTTTGAAGCAAGTAATGTGTATATCAGTATTGACTTATATGCTGCCCCTGTCTTCATGTTGTTGCTGGACATATCTTTTTTTAAATGTGTGTAGGTCACCTAAATCATCAGAAAAATTGCCCCCCCTGAGAATTTTTTTTATTTTTTATTTAGAAGCCTCTTGGACCTAGACTTGGCGCTCCGGTACCGCTTGCCGTGCGGTAGCAAAGAGAACATTCTATGACTAGGGTGGCTGGAGTCTTTGACAAGTTTTAGGGCCTTCCTCTGACACCGCCTGGTATAGAGGTCCAGGATGGCAGGAAGCTTGGCCCCAGTGATGTACTGGGCCGTACGCACTACCTGTAGTGCCTTACGGTCAGAGGCCGAGCGGTTGCCATACCAGGCAGTGATGAAACCAGTCAGGATGCTCTCGATGGTGCAGCTGTAGAACCTTTTGAGGATCTGAGGACCCATGCCAAATCTTTTCAGTCTCCTTAGGGGGAATAGGTTTTGTTGTGCCCTCTTCACGACTGTCTTGGTGTGCTTGGACCATGTTAGTTTGTTGGTGATGTGGATACCAAGGAACTTGAAGCTCTCAACCTGCTCCACTACAGCCCCGTAAATGAGAATGGGGGCGTGCTCGGTCTCATGCAGCATGACACATCTACTTCGCATAGAGTTGATCAGGCTGTTGATTTTGGCCTGTGGAATGTTGTCCCACTCCTCTTCAATGGCTGTGTGAAGTTACTGGATATTGGCGGGAACTGGAACAAGCTGTCATACACATTGATCCAGAGCATCTCAAACAGTGGCATGGCTTTTATTATATTACAGCATATTGGGTGACTGTCATTCATACTCCATTCACCCAGTTCAATGTAAAATCGATAGTTTTAGGCTACTACATGATACTCGAATTTTCCCTATACCCATCATGAGGTTGCTACAACCTAGCCTATGAATGAAAGTTTACAATGTAGGTGCACAAAGGTGCAATATCGCCTTGCACACTCTTGCCTGCATCTAGCTGATCTAGGGTGTAATCATTAGTCCAACAATTGCAAACAAGAGTTTATATTGGACAAATTTAGGTACAGTGGGGGGAAAAAAGTATTTAGTCAGCCACCAATTGTGCAAGTTCTCCCACTTAAAAAGATGAGAGAGGCCTGTAATTTTCATCATAGGTACACGTCAACTATGACAGACAAATTGAGAAAAAAAAATCCAGAAAATCACATTGTAGGATTTTTAATGAATTTATTTGCAAATTATGGTGGAAAATAAGTATTTGGTCACCTACAAACAAGCAAGATTTCTGGCTCTCACAGACCTGTAACTTCTTCTTTAAGAGGCTCCTCTGTCCTCCACTCGTTACCGGTATTAATGGCACCTGTTTGAGCTTGTTATCAGTATAAAAGACACCTGTCCACAACCTCAAACAGTCACATTCCAAACTCCACTATGGCCAAGACCAAAGAGCTGTCAAAGGACACCAGAAACAAAATTGTAGACCTGCACCAGTCTGGGAAGACTGAATCTGCAATAGGTAAGCAGCTTGGTTTGAAGAAATCAACTGTGGGAGCAATTATTAGGAAATGGAAGACATACAAGACCACTGATAATCTCCCTCGATCTGGGGCTCCACGCAAGATCTCACCCCGTGGGGTCAAAATGATCACAAGAACGGTGAGCAAAAATCCCAGAACCACACGGGGGGACCTAGTGAATGACCTGCAGAGAGCTGGGACCAAAGTAACAAAGCCTACCATCAGTAACACACTACGCCCCTAGGGACTCAAATCCTGCAGTGCCAGACGTGTCCCCCTGCTTAAGCCAGTACATGTCCAGGCCCGTCTGAAGTTTGCTAGAGTGCATTTGGATGATCCAGAAGAGGATTGGGAGAATGTCATATGGTCAGATGAAACCAAAATAGAACTTTTTGGTAAAAACTCAACTCGTCGTGTTTGGAGGACAAAGAATGCTGAGTTGCATCCAAAGAACACCATACCTACTGTGAAGCATGGGGGTGGAAACATCATGCTTTGGGGCTGTTTTTCTGCAAAGGGACCAGGACGACTGATCCGTGTAAAGGAAAGAATGAATGGGGCCATGTATCGTGAGATATTGAGTGAAAACCTCCTTCCATCAGCAAGGGCATTGAAGATGAAACGTGGCTGGGTCTTTCAGCATGACAATGATCCCAAACACACCGCCCGGGCAACGAAGGAGTGGCTTCGTAAGAAGCATTTCAAGGTCCTGGAGTGGC